GTGGTTATAGTATAGATAACGCATTTTGTAAGTTTGTTTCGTTTTAACCTAAAGCTAAAAATACAGTTTCAAAGTTTCATGGGGACTTCCACCGAAAAAAGTAGAAATAATGTATAAAATGCGTTTCAGTTTGGATATTTATCAAGTTTGGGCGGCCATAAGTTGTATTGAATTAGAAAGTTATAACCAGGAAGTAAAGCACAAACTGTCAGATTGAAGAAAAGTTAACTTCTCATATTTCATATATTTTACTACTAATTTGATCACGATCAGCAAAACGGACTTCAATACTGTAATGTTTTCGTTCTCAAAACAATTTTCAACCGTGGTTTTATGAATATCGTTTGCTGCTGTTTTTTTTAAAACGCAAAGCAACACAATGGGCTATCTGCGCTCTGTCAACAGCAGGGAAGTCGGTAAACTTACCGTTTACACACCGGGTGGGGGTGGGAACTCAACGTTAATTACGTGTTGAATAGTTTTTGTAAAGTACACTATCCTAGTGTATACACCATGTTCCAAATAATGTATCACGGCAATACACTAAATATTGGTAGTTCTTTATACTTTAATAAAATACCTACATTTCTATAGGAAAAAGTCAGCATGCTTATTTATTGTATCTTACGCGGTTTGAACAGTTTTAGGCTGCTATCACGATTGATACATTACATAAAAGGTAAAAACAAATGATTATCGCTTTCCATAGTTTGGGTTTCTACGATTTAACAAAGTCCATCCACTCCTTTATATTGTTTGTTACACAGTTTTTGATCATTTGTGTTTTAGAGTATATCAAAAGCCTTCTTCTTGTCGATTCTCTAATAAATGACTTCAGAACCTGATGTAATCATTCTCTCCAAACCAAGTATCCACATAATGAAGAGGATTTTAAGTTTCCCTCTTGCATCAACATTGTTTACGGGGGTAAGATCAGTTTATGAACCATGTATAAACGTTTTTTCTCCTCCTCTGAACAATTATTTTTTTTTTATAGTTATTTCTATCTGTTCACAAAGAAAATGTACTTTGAACAAGTTAATCTGAACAGGAATAAAATTACCTGACGTCTGACGCGTCTAGACTTTAAAATGGAAATAAAAACCTTAAGATTTCTTTTATTAATTTAGATGAGTTATATTTTGAAAAAAATATAGAGTAATCTTAAATGGCTTATGTATTTTTAAATAACTTTAGATAAAAATGAAGATGGTACTGTGGTATAGAGCGTTCCTTGGTAATGCTAACCAGTCTGTATTGTAAAACGTAAAATCTACATAAAATAATGAAAGTAACAACAATAATCAACAGTTCAACATCTGGAGAAACCAATCATTCATCCAGAGTGGGTCTCTCAAAAATGGTTTATTTTCCACTATTAACCTTATAATTATAGTTTAACATATACGTGGTATTACAGGGTTTGGATATATCAATTTAATTTTTTTTTAATGGCATAATCTGAAGTTTCTATTGCTATATTGATTGTAGATCTACTGGTTTATTTCTGTAGATTATGTATTTTACGTGAATCATTGTACAAATACGACCTCTATTACAATGAAAGGTTTTTCAGATTTTTTCATACCATATATATATCTGTGTATGCAAAATATTCGTGGCTGTTGACGATTTCTATTACTTACAACTTTACCCTACGGAATATTCAACTACCTTCCTATAGCTAAACAAGGCAGGAGGAAATCATAATGTAAATGCAAAGCCAAGTCGGAATACTTCGTGGTGGTTGCATTTACCCAACTAGATGACCAAGAAGTTACAGAAACATTGTTCCAAAGCTATGACTTGTTTTTGTTTTCTGTAGAACTGAAGTGTAGTATCTTATCTTTTTTGTTTTTATAACAGAGGACTATTTTGTTTATGCAGGGCACAAAAGTGTTATCCAATCCTTATATTTATTTGCGAGAACATATCAGCTGGCTAGTTATTGCAGTTTATTAGCTTCTGCGTAACTTTAAGACATAAACTTGTAAAAATTACAGAATTCTGTCCGAATATTAATTACAGCAGTTTTTTTAGGTAAATCATTGAAAAGAACCCTTGTCAGTTTTGTTTAAGATGCATTAAACAACAAGTTTGTTAACAAACATAATAACGTTCTCAATAATTAGTAGTTTGGTATTTCAGAGTGATTTTTTGTGTGTGGAATGAGATCCATTTTATGCATTAAAAATCACAGAACAAAATTTCAAATATTCGTAAAGTTTATAATATATACATAAAAAACTTGAATAACTTCAGAATAAACAGTTAAATACAGTCAGTGAAAAGCACACGCTCCTAAAACCTTGATTAAATTATGTTACAAAAAAAAACTAAATATTACAAGTAAAACATTCCAACATAAAAACAATTTAACTGAAGAAAAATTCAAGTAGGTGGTGAATGCTTAAACACCCCTCTAGGAAAATAAACATGCTTTTGTTTTTCTTTTAGAAATCAACACAATAAAGTTGTGCCAATGTTTTACCTCAGTTTTCAAAGTGTGCTGTTGCAAATTAAGTTCTCTTACGAATGTGTGAAAATGTTCTGGTTACTTCGGAACGAAGCCTTGCTACTTAAAACCGTGAATATGTCTACATTGTACCAACTGAGAGCTCGTTATTGTGTGTCTCTAGTCGACAGGATATCTTTGTTTTGACATGAATATAACGAGGGGAGCTCTGTACTATAATATTTACAGTTTTCTGGTCTGTACACATTAAAATAAAATATCTTCCCTACTGGTTGTTTCGTACTGCAACAGCTGCCACCAGAGCAGCACCACGCCCACTTCCATCTTCAGATAACATCAGATCGAACTGAAAGAAAGAAAAAAGGCTTAGCTGTGACAATGGAGGTAAATATTTATAGATTTTTTGTTGTTGTTAAATTATAGTCCTCCAAATAAAAGTAAAATTGTATCCAAACTTTAATGAAAATCGATTGCATTCTTTAATCATAAGACTCCATCGTGTTCGACCTACCTTGTAATAAGGCAGATTCTTTAATCATAAGATATCATCGTGTTCGACCTACCTTGTAATAGGCAAATTCTTTAATCATAAGATTCATCGTGTTCGACCTACCTTGTAATCAGGCAAATTCTTTAATCATAAGATTTCATCGTGTTCGACCTACCTTGTAATCAGGCAAATTCTTTAATCATAAGATTTCATCGTGTTCGACCTACCTTGTAATCAGGCAAATTCTTTAATCATAAGACTCCATCGTGTTCGACCTACCTTGTAATCAGGCAAATTCTTTAATCATAAGACTCCATCGTGTTCGACCTACCTTGTAATCAGGCAAATTCTTTAATCATAAGACTCCATCGTGTTCGACCTACCTTGTAATCAGGCAGATTCTTTAATCATAAGATTTCATCGTGTTCGACCTACCTTGTAATCAGGCAGATTCTTTAATCATAAGACTCCATCGTGTTCGACCTACCTTGTAATCAGGCAAATTCTTTAATCATAAGATTTCATCGTGTTCGACCTACCTTGTAATCAGGCAGATTCTTTAATCATAAGATTTCAGCGTGTTCGACCTACCTTGTAATCAGGCAAATTCTTTAATCATAAGATTTCAGCGTGTTCGACCTACCTTGTAATCAGGCGCTGTAAGTTCAGAAATCTTTTTCTCCATCAAGTCATGAAAATGAGGATGATATCTATACACAGAACCATCGACGCCGACTGTAGTGTGAGGGCGTTTGATTCGATTCAAAATGCATGATATAGCTGTTAACAAGAAATATAAAAGTGACAATAATTTAGGTTGCAAAAATCAGGTTCATTGTGTGTGTGTGTGTGTGTGTGTGTGTGTGTGTGTGTGTGTGTGTGTGTGTGTGTGTGTGTGTGTGTGTGTGTGTAGTA